AGTCTTTTCTTTGGTTTTCTTAAAAGGTCAGGTAGACAGCTCCATTCTTTCTGTCCCCTGTCCATCTCTTCTTATCAACACCCTCAGAGCAGCTATGCCCTCAACAACAGCATCAAAATATATGCTAAGAGGGATAGAATTAGAACAAGACTTTTGAGCTTTTTGATGCAGAGGACAAAAGAACAAAGCAAGGCATAATTTCACATGCAGTTATTAACGACTGAAGCAACACTGAACTTAAATAGAAAAAAATGAACAAAGATAAACAAGGAGCAAAAAAGATGAGAAATATTCCCATGTTCAGTTCAACAGCTGTCCTAATTTCCAAATTATTTAGTTTAACAACATACTAAAAGTCTGGTAGGTTTAAAATAAAATGCAGGAGTTCTGCAGATTCTGAGGATATTTGGTTTAAACTCCTAATGATTCTGAAAACTTGGCATGATCGTATGCGTCACTTCCCTTTAAACTCTTTTTAATGTTTAATGGGTTTATAAGAAACAAATAAATCTAAATCTAAGTCCCAAAAATGTATGTTATTTTATAGCTCTTTATAGCATGAGTTCTAATTCTGTGTTGTTGCATTTCTTCCAATGTTCTTTATGTGTTTGCTGTTTAATACCACATGAAATACGTTATCTTTGTTAATGTGTCTCTCACCTTGGGTGGAAGTATATGTATATGAGTAATTTCAATAGTTCTATAGTAAAAGTACTATAGATTTTTTGTAGAATATTCTCAATAATTTCCATGTTTGGAATTTCTGTATTTAAAAAACATAAATATGCTTAAAAGCATTCTTCCACACTGATGCTTAATTTGAGTACACCAAAATATTGTGTAAAGGTAAATAGAAAAAAAGCCATTATCTTGATGATTATTTTGAGCTAGCTGTGGATATTTATGTGATTTGTATTAGAATATAACTGATTGACAAGCCAAATTCCTGGAAGCCTCAACATTGAAGTGTATAGGAAAAACAGACTATTATCTTCTTTTTGACTCACACCATCCACTGGAACACAAACTTTCAGTCATCAGAACCTTACAACACCGGGCTGAGCACGTCTCTACAAAAACAGAAGGGAAGCACAAAGTACAGAAATACATCAAATCAGCAAGGAAATCGAAAAGACATGCAGCAGAACAGTGAAAAGGAATTAACAAATCTTTTTATGTGTAATCTGTCATTTTTTATGAACTGTAAAAAAAATAAATAAATAAAATGATCTGCATGTTGCTCATATTAAACAAACCAAAAACAAATACATTTCATTTCCTGTCAGCTGAGTTGCGGAACCCTCTCCCTACAAAGATTTAATTCTCTGTGAAATAATGCCGATCATTCTTTCATAAGATCCTCCTCAAACGTATCCTCGTATGCACAAATTTACAACAAAAATCTCCTGACTAAATCCAGAAATAAAACAGTGTGGCTGGCTTTAACGAGAGCGGAAACAGAGGAAACTGGCTTGTCAGCAGGAACAAAACCTGCTCCCAAGCAGGTTAGCTCTTGGGAGAATGTTACTATAATAACAGGGACAGATTTTGAGGAAACTGTCTTTGTGAAACGGAAAACTCAGTTTCCCTGATTTCAGGTTTAGAAAACTTAGAGTTTTCAGTAAACCTGTTTTGTGAAACAGATCCCAGGACTGAAATCTATGTAGATTATAAAAGGTGTGTAAACCTGATCAAGATAAATACCGCCTCACTAACATGTGGTTTTCTCTGCTGAGCTCTGTTAATGAGATGATGTTGGTGTAATTTGTGCTGAAGCACGAACACATCTAAAAGACAGCACCTCTTAAAAACTGGACTTTAAGACCAATGTACCATCCATGACTTTATGTAAGTTCTCAGATAGATTAGAAAGTTATTTTTTTACCTCATATTATCAGTATTAACATTAGAATGATTTATGCCTTCAAGGTTGATTTTCAAACATTTATTTTTTTGTGATAAACTTTCCCACTCACAGAAAATCATGATTTGTCTATTCTATTAAAACTTCACTTTTTATATAATCATGAAAATTATTTTTGTTTTTACAGAATGAATATAATGAGAATGTGATATCAACACATGTGGGCCAAATTATTATCTTAATAAGTAATTTAAAGGTAACTATAGATGATGAATTAGTTACAATGACTAAACTGGTTACTTTAGTTGAGTAGGTAACCAACGTGAGTTAACTGGGTGATGCTGCTGGAGCTCCTACTACAGCAGGGATGCAGATTAAGGTCTGTTCTTAACAGATGGATTGAGGTCAACAATCAGTCTTAATTAATACAAATTACTCAGACATGGCTGTTTAAAAGATATAGCCACATAATTTTCTATAAACTATCAATCAATTTGTGTGTTTTTTCTTTTTTTTCCTTATTTACAGAAAATTTACATTTCTAAAACATGAGAACCCTCTAAAATCGTAATGCATTTAATTCAATAGTGTCCTTTTTAAGGTATAAAGTTCTCACTTTCATTGATAATCATAATTTTAAAAATGCAGATAAGTTTTTTTTAAAGTCCCTCAAATTGTTTTTATTAAATTCAAGAAAAAAGTTATCAGAGAAGGGGAAATCATTTTGAAAATAAAGTAAATGCATTTGAGAGAGCATTTATACACTGACATCAAAACATTATATTATTTTAGAGAAAATATTTTGTCTTAGAATAAATAAAAGATAAATTGACAATTAGAAAAAATTTTTCTACTCTCAGATATTGTTGTTTTGCAATAAGACTGGCTAATAGCAACACTCTTATTGCAAACACATTTTTCACACAGAGAGAAAAATCCTGAATCAGGAGCAAAGACTGAGGTTTTGAGAGTGAAGAAAAAAATTTTTGAGATAGAAATCTATTCTTGAGAGAAAAGGTTTCCACTCTGATTGCAAAAATGAATAAATATTTGAGAGAGCCTTTTTTCCCTGGCAATTATTTTCCAAAAGTTAGTTTATTTTTTATTTATATCATGGCAACATATTTTCTCTCAAAACTTTTTCTTTAGTCTCAAATAACATCAGTTTTTGCTATCAGTGTGATCATTTGTTCTCTCCAATACACTTATTTTACTTTGAAATTTATTTTCCCCTTTCAGATCACTTTTTTCCCCTTGACTTTGAAAAACAACACAAAACAATTCCAAAGAACTAGTAAAAAGATTAAAGGAAAAGGACAAAAGCTAGTCTACAAATTAAAGTCTTTATGCCTTTTTTTTCTTTAAAAAAATAAAAAAATAAATAATAAATATATATATATATATATATATATATATATTATTTAAAATAAACAAAAACATTGGTGGGTTCTGAGAGAAACTCTTAGAGACATGCACAGAAGAAGAAAAACGTGCAAGCACAAACTCACACTCACACTTTAGGGCAATTTAGAAACACCAATTTATTTGAACATTCACGCTTTTGGTCTGTGGGAGGAAACATATTTTAGAGAACATACAAACCCTAAGCAGAAAGACCATGAACTGGAAACTGGAACCTTTTTGCAACAAGGCAACAGTGCTACCAAATGTGCCCCCATCCATCCCATACAGTATACATGCCAGTTAGAGTACTTGATTTATAACAATAGTAAGATAATGAAAAGCTCAACTTGCACAAACACCTGTGATTGGGATCTAAACAGAGCTTCAGTCAGAGGCTTTTAGAAGATAATACATGTCAATTTCACTTGACAAAGTTCTAAAGTGGTATCTTCAAAGAGAGTATGTTTGAGCTTGTAATTTTCTCTTTCATGCTTAAACCTCTAACCTAAATGGGACAAGTGGAGCTGCAGAATGAGAATGACGGAGACCACAAAACAGTTTTTGTCATCAGAGGCTGGTTTAAGAAGATTTACCTGTCTGGGTTTTAAGGTAAAGGTTTAATTCCATTTTCTTTTTGTGTTTCTGTCCTTTCTGAACCATGGTAGAATATGTTTACTAAAATAGGAATGAATTGTGTAAGAAAGGCAAAATTCCCACTACTGGAACAAACTTGTTATTGTTAACTTCTAATACATTATCTCACCTTTTTATTTATATCACATATGGCTATATATCAAGTTGTAAAATTAAATTAACAGATTTTTTTAGGGCAATATCTCCAGTAGTTCCACCTCCTACAATGAAAGTAAATGGAAAGTATATCCATGTTCAATTAAAATTGTTTAATGTAATGTTCCCATACATTTTTATAAAATAGTGCATAACTGCCAAGTGGTTTGTTTTACATGAGATTTGTGTAATCAACAAGGTAAAGGCCATACAGGCAGGAGCCCTTTTGCACAAATGGAAACAAACTTTGGTGATATGCTGGAAAAACATAAACTCCACATTTTTCTTGATTTGATGTTTAATTGATATTATTCTATTATTAAAACAACTTAAGCCTCTTTGCATTAGTGAAATTTTGGGGGTGTTTATGTTGGAGTAGGAACTTTGTAGGTCAGGTACCTCTCTGATAACTTTTTTATCTTTTCTATTGAAATTTGTTCGCTTCTTCTTGTTCTTCGTGGTTACAGTATTTGTGTTACAAGCGTTTCTAGATCAAAACAGCGCCCTCTGGTGGTTAAGTGACACCAAGACGTCAAATTTAAATTTTATTTAAAACATTTTATATAAAAATATATATATATTGCATATTCACAATCGTATCGGAATACTTCGTAATAGTTTTGTTCTTTTCGGGAAACTTAGATGTAGTTTTCAACTTTCTATTTTCATTTTGAAAGATTCACTTTGTCAGGACTAACATGTGAATACGAGCGCTCCTCTACCGGGGCAGCCTCGGAGAGATGATGACATGTTTCCAGATATTTGTTGTAGTTTTATTAGGGAACTCTTCGTGGGTAGATAATTTTAGGTTCCAACTTATGTGTCATGATGACTCCAATCGGAAATGTGTGAGGTATGCCCCACTCCCCACACTGTTGCAGTCTGACGACCAACCAGCTGTGGATTGCAACATCTAAGCTCCGCCCCTCCGGGTTGACGACACCGCGGGACGAAACAACGAAACCAAACAAACCCGGAGCCAGCCAGAGCCTCTAGTCCGGTTGAAAGTTCTGGAGAACCAGCGACAGGCTCAGCAGAGCGCGGCGGGGATTCAACCTAGACTGACCGCATTCAATATCTGGCTCTTAGACGGAGGAAAGGACCGGCTTTTGAACACACTTTGTCATTTCAGCTCCGGAAGTAACAACAAAGACTCAACAAGTTAGTTTTTTTGGAGGTTTAACTACCTTTTTATTGGACTTCTCCGTGTAATTATTTGATTCATTTAAACGTCCAAAATAAACCAGACGACCACCGGCTAAAAGGCGAACGACAGGTTGCGCAACTAAAACAGAAGCAAACGTCATCTCCAGTTCTCCCAGTGCAACAGTGACTGGTCCCAGTTGGAGTTCGGTTTCAAGACAATAAGCTGCTTTCCCACGTCTTCGTTTTTGCAACTCTGCAACACAAAGAAGTGACCAGAAAACATTATCCACGGTGTTTTTCAGCGGTTTGACCCGCGCGCCGGAGCAGTCAGTCATTCTGAAGGTAAGAAACTGACCTGAGATCAGCAGAGCTGCTGGTCGCAATGGAAATCAATTAAGATTTAACTCCATAGAATCAGAACCAAAACAAAACAGGAAGCAAAAAAAATTGTTTGACTTGTTTAAACCAAATCAGCATGTAATTATTTCCTTTTTTAAAAATCATATGTTAGTCTTTTTGTTCTATTCGACACATGTTAGGCAAGGCAGGGATTTTACCTTATAATGGACCTATCATTTTTTTTTATAAATATTTAAACAATTTGCAAAAACCCAAGAAAGAGATAATCAACAGACAACAGAAATGTATAAAAACAAAAACGATGCTCACTGACCTTTTTGATGCATATTGATTATTTTGACTACCTAAAACCACATTTTAAATAATTTTTTCTTTTTTTTTTTAAGTTTCATTTTTAAAATTTGAAAAACAGTATCTAAAATATCTGATTACCTATAACCCTAAAAAAACACATTTTCTTGATTGCCAAGTTATTTAAAGAAGAAGTTGTTATAAAATGAAATCTATATTAGTAACATGTTGGGTTTTAATGTTAGGAATTCTATTTGAGGCTTTATAGAGTTGCACAATATTAAAAAATATGCAATTGCAATATTGTTGCTAAAAATGTGATATTTTAACCAACATACATCTGACTCACAATTACACAATGTTCCACCACTTTGTTTCAGTTTTAGTGTCTAAGCCAAAAATAAAAATATTATACCTCGGATGTGGGCATTAAGGGCAGTTGGAGCACACCCACCTGGCCAACTAAACATGCAGGTTTATAAGATTTTACCATTCACTGTGTAGACTTTCCTGATTGCAATATTGCACATGTTAACACTACAGTAATAACTAGTTTGATATATTGTGCAGTTCTGCTTTCCGTGTATGGATTACAATTGGTTTTGGATTACATTTTTTTTTTTTTTACAGTAAAGCAGTTTTGATATCCCCTGGATTATTTCTTCTGAAAGATTTTGCCTCAAACACAGAATGTAGGGATTAGATTAGCCTGATCGAAGATTTTACCGAACCTTTCCTTTCATATGATCACACATTATCTTAGCAGCTTTGTAAAAATACATCATTTGGTCTTTGAATATGTCTTACCTTATTTTTATTTGTTGCATTTCCATCTTTATTTCTTTTGTTTTCATTTAGATTTATAAATTTTTCTGCCCGGAAATAATCCTGTTAATCTTTATGCTATTTTGTGCATTTTAACAAAAATACTTTATAATAATCTTTAATTTCAGTTGCATTGAAAAATCACTTATAAGGTTGCAACTTTTATGGTTTTAAACCACAAAAAGGGATTAATGAGATTCCCAAGGAGAGATTGCATGGTGCAAAGTTTCTGCATGTGGGTTTTCTTTTATGAATAACTCAGTAGTCATTTCTCTCCATCGCTTTATTTTAAGCTAGTTTCACAATCAAAAGTGTCAAGTGAGGCCAGATTTGCTGTGTGCATGCCAGTGGGTGGATGACGTTGCCTCAGTGACATTGTGACTCAGGTTGTTTCAGCAGGAGCGAAAGCAGTGTTGCCCCATAGCCGGTTTCCACAAAGTGTCACCAAGGTGACCACATGTTATGAGAAACTAACTCACACAAACATAGACTCACACACACACACCCGCACCCTGGTGGTGCATGCATGTAGGTGTTGACTGTATTTAGAGCATTTTTAAACTATAAACTGTTTTGCTCTGATGCAACGATCTGAAAGCTGTATGCTTGTCAGCTTACAGGAAGTTGCATCAGGAAGCGTATAGACACCGACTGTGTAACATGTAAGCAGGAGGGATGCAGAACACAGTCAGATGTGATACTAATACATCATTTTTCCTAATGTCACCAAAGAGGTTTTGGTGTAAGAATGAGGCAGAGTCACAGTTACTCCTGAAGAGGGTGCTGTTGTGCAACGAGGAGAAGATGTGAAAAATGTATTGATTAAGGTAATAAGTGGCTTAAAAATCTCAGAAAAGGTTTTATGGAAACTTTGCATCTTAGAAAGTTCTCATTGTGGATTTGGAGTTCTATCTGCATTCTGTGGTGCTTCAAACACATCAGAGAGGAAGTGTTTAGGATTCTGATGTTTGCTGCTATCTATCGGGTTTAGTTAAAGTGGTAGATATCTCAGAAATACCAGCATGAAAAATTTATTGTTTGGTATAACCGGGCTAATAATAATAAAACTCATGTCATTTGCCGTCAGCAGCAATACCTGAGGATGGATGTGGCCACCACCAGAAGTCAGCTGTGTCTGAAGAGGCTGCTGGCTGAGCCTCAAGAAAACTTACCAAAATGTAAACGAGCCTGTCTGGAGACCTCCCCCTCTGCAAACAGCCTATCAGCTTACCTCACACCAACAAACCCGGCACCCAAGTCTAGCCCGAGTCAGCCTCCATCCAGAGTTGGAGCGTACCTGCTGTTAGAAAGCTGTGAGAAGGAGGAAACCTATAGAGCAGTGCACACGAGCACACAGAAGCAGTACACTTGTCAGGTAAGACTGGGCCAACAACAACCAAAAAATAAGCTGCTAGTAGTGGCAACAATGCAGACGTCCTTGAAAATATAACCAATAGTGATATTTTTTTTTTTGTACTACAAGTATTTGCATGTTTTTTGTTGCAGGTTCTACCTCTGCGTGGTTTCCAGGAACGGTTAGCAGCCTATGACCGCATCGGTAAACACGACAACATCTGCAGTCTGCAGGATGTGGTGGTCGGTCAAGACAACCTGTATGTTTTTCTTCCCGATCATCATGGCGACATGCACGCATACGTGCGCAGCAGGAAGCGTCTGGAAGAGGAAGAGGCGGGACGTCTGTTTGCTCAGATGCTAAACGCAGTGGTACACTGTCATCAAAAAGGAGTCATCCTGAGGGACCTGAAGCTGCGACGATTCGTATTTATGGACCAATACAGGTAAGATGCAGCCTAAGGTCACATTACTGATGTTAGAATTATTCTGCTTCAGACCTAGAAGGAAAATAACATTTTAGTTTATTTCAATTTTCTTTCCAGAACTCGTCTTGCCCTGCTTGGCCTAAATGACTGTGTCGTTCTACACGGTAACCTCAATGAAGACTTTCTCAAAGACAGACACGGCTGTCCTGCTTACGTCGGCCCCGAGCTGCTCACCAATGGAAACGGCTCCTATTCTGGTCGCGCCGCAGACATCTGGAGCCTCGGCGTGTCCCTGTACACCATGCTAATTGGACGATACCCTTTCCAGGACACGCAGCCAACTGCACTGTTCGCCAAGATCCGCCGTGGGGTGTTCAGCCTTCCCAATAGCTTATCCCCACAGGCAAAGTGTCTGATCAGCTGCATGCTGAGGAAGACGCCTGTTGAGAGACTGAAAGCATCTGAACTTCTGATGCACCCGTGGCTGACCAACCATTGCATGCAACACCACAACGTACACAAGTCCCATCACAACCAAAATACCACTCAGAACAAGCAGGAGGAGGAAGACCAAGTGGTGCCAACATGGACGGAGAAACAATAACACTTTAATACACAAACACTATATCTTCACACATGTGGGTATTTATAATAAAACATGCCTGGCCAAAAGTCAAACAGTCAGTCACCATCTAGCAGTGGTTTTATTGTAATGCATTTCTTCAATGTGAGTAATTGACTTTCAGTTAGAGCTGCATTATTTAAACACTTCATTTTAATGTTGTTTTAATCAATACTTGAACTAATGATAAAAAATAAGCTAAAGGCAGGGAATGCTTTTCCTTTTGCAGTTCCTACAATCTATTTCATAACCAGAGCCTAAATGAATTATAGCATTGTGCCATGCAAAGTGGCTGTGCAATTTGAAAGAGACAGCGATTGATGACAGCTTATTATGATGTATTAAATTAGTCAGCTGACGGCATCTTTTTAGGGCCATACAAGGACTAAAAGGACAAACTGCATTTACCCTACAGTTCTGCTTTTATGGTTCGTTTTCCTCAGTTACATTTCAAACATCTAAGTTCCTTAAGATAACAATCATTCACCATTTATTTCAGATGATATAAAGGTTTTTTTTATTTTTAGAATGAATAGCTCTTAACTTATCTTCATTTATTCCATCTACTTCTGTCTTTGCTTGATGAAGAGCAATAATTTGATCCAGCTGAAAATACATAGCATATCCTTCACCGTCAGTCTGTCATCTAAAAGCTTTACTTTTCAGCACAAGACTGCAATTTTATCTTAAGCTCAACTGGTTTCTGTCTTTTTGGGCCAGGCAGTGTGTACTAAATTAACAACTATAACCTTAATTCCCATTTCAAGGTTGAAACATTTCTCCATGAAAGTCATTACAAGTCATTTTGTTATTTTTAACAAATGTATTGATAGATGAAGTGATGAACACTACCAATGCTGTGGTCCTGGATTACTTGAACCTTGGGTGCCTTTTTCAGTCGGTTGTTGTGTCTCAGTTTATGCTCCGCCTCTTTCAGACTGACTCGTCCAACATGATGACCCATCTAAGACTTAAACCTACAGTTCCTCTTTCTAATTATCTGTTCTGCTGCCGTCTGTGATGCTTGGAACTGGCTTTAGCAATTAACAGGGTTTTAAGGGGTATTTCTGCATGACATGCAGTGTGAAAACCTTTTAGGTATATTCGATGTCAGATGAGTATTACTTTTTTTAAAAGGGAAGCTGACCCATAGTAGACTACTTTTATAAGATTTCATGGTTTTGTTTTTTTAGTGATGTATATTAAAGATTTTGGTAGATCTTTCCATCAAAACAACAGTCTGTTCAAACAGCCAACTGGATATGTGGTCTTACATACAAAGTGGTTGGTATAATACTGTATATTTAAAAAAAAAAAAGATAAATGCTTATTAACATTTAATGGCGACCGTGTTCATGTGTTTTCTTTTTACCAACTCTTGAAATTAGCTTCAGCTTCACTATTTACAGCTTATACTGATGTTTCAGGTGTTCAAATTTTTGCCTGAACAGAATTTCAATCAGTCTCTGGAGGAGGCAGAGCCTAAAAGAGGCAGCACACCGTTCAATTGTTTACATTTACAAATCCTGGTGGTGATCATAACAACCTTTACGGATTTAAAACGTGTTACTGAGATCAATGAGTTTAACTTGTATTTTTAGTTTTCTTATAAACTTATTTTTATTTAGCCTGTATTTAATTAAAGATTAAAAATGAACTTGGAAATTACCACATAATAAAAATCAAAAAATTGTAAAGTTACTGAGAATATCTATAGATTGGATTTAATATAAACAAATAAATGTGAATAAATAAACTTAAATTTTTTGGATAATTAAAACATATTTTGGGGTTTTCATGTTCCAAATTGGATGAAACAGCTTGTTGCAGATTTGCCATTATTTAACATATTTTTTAAAGAATAAAAAAATAAGCACTTAAATACCCCGAAAAATCGTATGATTTTGTAGTAACAGAAGAATTATTCTTAACTTAATCTGTCCTGCTTTACTGACTAGCTTTAAGCCTGCAAACAGTATGCCTTTTATTGTACAGTGCAATTCTGATGTCAGTTGTAAAAATAAAAAATAAAGGCTGTTTTAATGTAATCGTGTATAAATATTGGTGTTTTTATTGATAACTTTTGTTTACTATTGACATTTTTCTTTTTGTTTTTCTTTTACTGAATCAACTTAATGGGACAGTGCTTTATAATAATGAGCATGCAATATTGTTTTAAATATATTGGATTTAGCAATGCTAACTTCCATTCATAGACAAATACCTGCACACAATTTCAAACAGAAAAATAAGTAAAATTTAAAAGATATATATATATATATATATATATATATATATATATATATATATATATATATCAGGCTTTATAAGTAATTTTATGCAAACAAATAAGTGACTAACATATTGTTCTAATGGCTCTAGGTCCTTTTCATAAAGATGCTATGAGTGAGGGAGGGGCCAAGGTTTATTTGCTGATGTATGGGGCTTAAAGTAATGCTGCACTGTTACGGTAGTCCACCATTTATGTCCCCTGCAGGTCAACTGGCTGTAAAAGTAAACTACCGGTATGTAATAATTTTCTTCACTTAAACAAATTTTGCAGTTTGTAAGTGTTTTAGATAACAGAAAAAAAAACAGCTACTGGGGAAACTAAAGACGCACATTTACAGATTATGCAGTTGGTGAGCTCCAGGTCTCATCTGCAATTAGCGTCAGTCTTCAAGCTGACAACCACTGCACACAGCTCAACTTATATCAGCTTGTAATATGTTTAGTTTTACAAAAATAAATTCAATACAAAAAGCCAGATAACTGCGTAATAAGAAGTTGAATCTTGGGACTAATCCGATGCATTATTTGTTTCGGACCCAGATCTGGGGTCAAGTAACGAACCGAGGCCACAGATCCATTCATAGTCCTTTGTCACTGAGAAAGATACTTAGGTTGATTTTACTACAATAACATATCTATGGCCATATATTAAAAAAAAGCTATATTTTGATTGATGCATTTGTCCATTTTGCAGACCTAGTTGAAATGTCCACCTGTGAGCACTACACTGCTTGCATCAAAATACATTATGCCCAATCTTAGATATCAATGTGGAGAGGTTTGTCTCCCTTTAAGATACAAAAAAGAAACACATGCAGACAGTTAGGGAACATACATCATATAATGCTTCAGGAGTAGTGTTGCTGGTATCTGGCTCATATCAGTCTGCAGTTGTCTTTGTGCAAAGAGTTTTGAGAAACTTACTCTAACATGTGTTATTAGATACTCTGACACAAACGTATTGTATCCGGATACAAATATATTTGGTAGGGCATCGCTACTAAATACAAGTATTGTATGCATATTTTTGCAATTGTTTATTTTAGATTTCTGGATTATTTGCACAGTAAAAGAATAATACCTCCAACAACTTACAAATATTGTCAAATTGTTTTATATTTGGGTTATTTATTTGCAGTTATCCAACCACTTGAATCTCTGATTTTTATTCCTATGGTATCAAAAATAGCATCTAGTATAAAATATTTTCCTGTGTATCGAGTTTACAATTTTAGTATAGTGACAACCCTAAACTCAACAGATTAGTCCTGCTACTTTTATCCCCTTTACATTGTCCTGCGATGAAGGGTGATAACAGGAGGCTGCACACAAGCCTTTTCTTGTAAGAATCTTTTGACAGTAGGAAGTATATATATATATATATATATATATATATAAAAAATATGAGCGCTTAAATCAGCCATCTTTTCTGAGCTCTACATCCATATTACATGTATCTGAGGGTTTTGCATGAAACAAACCTCGACAGGAAGCAGCTCTATAATGTTTATGTTCCATGTATGCTTTTACTTTGACAGGAGATGCTGTGTAGTTGCCAGGGTAACGGCCTTAGGACAATAAAATGTTGGAGATGGGGCTGATTATCTATTACTGAATTTGCTCGGTTTAATATTGAGATCGTTTAATAGATACTGATTGTAAGCAGACATTGACTTGAACTTGAAAACTGAAAAAAAAAAGCTATTTTGCTTTTTGTTTTATTTTGAAATGGATTAACCAAAGAATGAAACACGCACAGATTATGTTGGATGGTTTTGGACAGTTTAGCAGTGTCTGCAATTCAAAACAATATACATAGACTTTTAACCATGCTTAGGTTATTAATTACCATCAACAGTGAAATAAGATTTAATGTCTCCATTATGTGGATCTTTATTCACTTTACCTGGTGTAATGTAATCAGTTGAAGTTACTAAGCTACAAACATTAAATATATCACATAATTTTGGGCTCAATAAAGGAAAGAAAAAAAAAGAAAGAGGGTTCCTACACAGTCTTAAAGAAGCTGGCTTTTAATCAAGACAAGAAAGTGTAAAAAATGAAACACTAGAAACATTTTTGAATTTGCATTTTATCTTTACATGAATAAGATAAAAAAGGACCCTTTTAAATTGATAAATAGTCTAACTGTAACTCAAAAGAATGAGCAGAAATGTTTAAAGTTGTTTTGTTAAATAAATCTTCTTTGTCAATAAATCTAATACATTTTCTGTGTGTTTTAAGTTTTAAAATCAGTTTTTAAGACTTCTTCTGACTACAGGAATTAGTAAGGACTGATCATTACAGCTCCATAAAATAATGATTTAAAGTGAACACAGTAAACAGATAATATCTAAAGACAATGTGGGTTTATTCACCTCATTTTTTATTGAATTAATCAAAAAGCAGAACAATTATTTCTCCCCAGTCTACTCCTTCATTCAAAGCTCAGCTCTGACCCATTATTCTTGTGCTGAACAGAAAATCTGCTCTGTCCTCATCTTAGACTTCATCAGCTAATCCAGTCTTTAAGCTGTCCTTCATACTGTACATGCAGAGGTGCCACTGAGGGACTCAGCAGTAGCAGCAGGTTATGAAGCAGGGTCAGTTTCCATGTCATCAGTGTCGTCGCCATCAGAACGGCAGATCTCCTCCAAGGCCAACTCTGACAATACAGAAGTAATACATGTAAGGTTAAACAGCCAATACTCCGCTGCTACAGGCAGCAGAAATAAAAAGGTCAAATAAGGATTTTTAAATATAAATTACTGCATTTTACTGATTATGATCCAAGGCAAACAATACTTGATAAAATGTATTTGTTCACCACAAAGAGGATTTCTAGCTTTGTCATGCAAACAAGTCATCAACAAAATAAACTCTGGATTATTAAACCACTTTATGCAAAGACAAACTCTCGGTTTAAAGGGGTCGTAGAATGCAAAACCGAGCTTACATTGTCTTGGAAGAATAACGATAGTTCAGTGGGTAAAATGGACGTACAGAGAAGTTCAAACCCCGTCGACACCTCCTTTCTCTGCAAATCTCACAAATCTAAACTTCCACCATAAAACGGGTGAATCCAAATGAAGCCATGAGTTGACATAAACTTGGAGATGTTCCCTTATTTGTACTTTTGTGTCGACTGCTGGGCCGCTGACTGGACCTCAGCAGAGATCCATGAGCCCCCCATCCTCAGCCAGAAAAGGAGGGGTCCGGTAAGGCAGGCGGGGGAAACACGGGGCCGCCTGTGTCCAGGCTACAGTCAACAGGCTGGGTTTGGTCGCTCCGTTCCCCGCTGGCGCCCTGTCCGTGTCCACCCGGGTTCCTGGACAAGCCCCGGGGCTGATGGCTCGGTTCGTGTGCCGGGTGTGTTTCAACTACGTGCTACACTGTAGTCGACCAAAATCCCGGACGATTTTGAAATTCCCCCCGGACATTATTTTTTAGGTATGAAAAGTAGAACATGTCCAGGAAAAAAGGGACGTCTAGTCAACCTTTCATATCGACAATTTGATGTTTCAGTGAGTGAGTGCTTGTTGCTATGATGCGTCTTTGCTCAGCAGCTTCGCTCAACCATAAACCAACCAATCAGTGCATAGCTCATCTAAATATTAATGATCATACCATAAAAGGAAGAAAACCTGTCATTTCACTCTGGGGCTTTTAACCAGGCTTACATTAGGGTGCATAGAACAGCAAATATGCCATTTTGAAACCCAACCAATGTTACACACCCTATTCGGAGACCTTAAGGACCAGCACCAAATACCCTATAGAATCGTTCTATGACCCCCTTAAATCTCAAAGATTATCTATGTTTTGTGTCCATCTACCTTCGCTGTCACTCAGCTCAGGAATCTTGATCAACGTTTCGCGCACAGAAGGGATCATCTGGTCATACATGTGCAACACTGGCCTGCAGCTTTCAGAGAAGCTCCTATGATGCAGCAGCAGCCAATGAAGAAGCAGCAGACATTCTCTGAGGAGAGCTGATGCTGTGTCGCTCCAATCAGGTGAGCAGGCCACTGAATAAAAGAAAAATTTAATTTTAGGGAACTAACTGTACGCTTAAGAGAATCCCTCTTTTCTTCTCCAAACTTACCTGATGGTTGCTCTTGAGAACCACGAAGATCCAACCACTGACGATGGAAAATTATTACAACTACCTGAACCAACTGCGAAGGAAAAAAAAGTATATTGAAATATATGTATTGTGGAAAAAGCAGATTATTTTCAAGAATCAGAGAGAGTAGTTGACCTCAGTATAACACTGGCAGGGACTCTGCTCGTTTTTTGTCCAGCTCTCTGTCCTCTGAGTCACTCTGCTCAACAAACGCACAACCTACAGACAGTGAATCTCTGACATTAGCTGGGTTTCAGGAGGGTTCACACACTTCTTTCACATTAAAACTGTTATCGAGTTAATTTATAAAGGGTTATAAAATATACCTCTTGTTTCCATGTATCAAATTAAAAATCTATTTTTGTCACCTGCAGGTCCAGCAAAATCAAGTCTGTACAGGTTGCTCTGGTGTCTGGTCTGGTCCTGATCAAATGGAACACCTTAAGGAAAATACAGGTATCTGCAGCAAAACAGGGGAGAGAAACAGTGAAATCAAACTCCTTTTATAACATGGATGGAATTTTATGAAAGCAAAATAAGTGCACAACAAGGGTAGATACTGAGTGAGTATGTCCCATCAGAATTGCATCAGAAGTCACTTGAGTCATTTTGT